TAGTAAAGTTAGATTTCTCTCTTAAAGCTTCCTCTATAAGGAAGCCATAACAATGGAAGCAATGTGCAAATTTCTAATTTGCCTACTTTAAGGGTGAGGAAGAAATGTGCAAATTTCCAATTTGCACGCTTCAATGATGAGGAAGCAATATGCAAATTTCTAATTTGCACACTTTCGAGAAACATCGAAAAAAAATTAGATTTCGCTCCTAAACCTTCCTCTATGAGGAAGCCATGTGCAAATTTCTAATTTGCACACTTTACTTTACTTTACTTTACTTTACTTTACTTTACTTTACTTTTTTTCTAATTATATATTATATTGTTTTTCAGTTTTTTCAATCCAAATTTCATATATAATTCATTAAAATATGATTAATTAGTTCTTGACATACAGTTCTTGAGTTATAGACATTTGAAATTTTTGGAAATGATTATTAAAGAAACCACAGACATTTCAGCAAAACCTTCCTCTATGAGGAAGCCATGTGCAAATTTCTAATTTGCACACTTTTTTACTATAATTTAATTAATGCTGAGTGAACTCGTGTTTAATTACTGTGTTTATAATATTGTTGCATTTATAAAGTTATAAAAAGATTTTAAAAAAAGAATAAAAATGTATCCGACACAAATTATACATGGTCTGTCCTTAAAGTAGTCGGACTGAGTCAATTACAAAATATTTATTGACAGAAATAATACATGCGCTCAATATTCTTCAAAGTAGGACCCTTCTGCATCCACACACCGCTGGCAGCGGGATTTCCAGCTCTCATACGCTTCCTGGAATGCGACACCCGGAATGCTGTTAAGCTCCCTCGTCACGGCCTGTTGTAACGCTTCCACCGAGCCGTGATGGTGTCCTTTCAGGGCGGTTTTGAGGCGGGGGAAGAGGAAAAAGTCTGGTGGGGCAACGTCGGGACTGTAGGGTGGCTGAGGCAGGGTTGCGATGTTGTGTTGGGCCAGGTACGTCGCCACGCGGAAGGCTGTGTGGCGACGTACCTGGCCCAACACAACATCACAACCCTGCCTCAGCCACCCTACAGTCCCGACGTTGCCCCACCAGACTTTTTCCTCTTCCCCCGCCTCAAAACCGCCCTGAAAGGACACCACGACTCGGTGGAAGCGTTACAACAGGCCGTGACGAGGGAGCTCAACAGCATTCCGGCTTCCGCATTCCACACACAGAAAAATATTATTGTACAGTCAAGAAAAGTAATTACTCAGTTTATTTTATTCCGTTTAAGTAATAGTTTGCTTCAATAAAGAATCTTTTCTTAATAATAATCTTAAGATATACTTGTTACTAGTCTTAGAAAAGCTTGCCATCTTATGCTCAAAGAAAGAATTTATTCTTCTTTGAAGAAAATTATGAAACTTATTGAAGAATTCCGTATGCTTCTTTTAATAAAATCAGAAGAAACAAAATTGTTTTGCTTCAAATAATTCTATGTATTCTTGTTTCAAGTACTAGACTTACTAAGAACCAGAATATGTTTTGAGTAAATATAACACTTGCGACGACATTATGATAGATTTGCGGATATATAAACTTATCAAATACTTGGAACAAATAATATTTACTTGCAGGTAGTATATATTTTTCTGTGTGCAGGAAGCGTATGAGAGCTGGAAACCCCGCTGCCAGCGGTGTGTGGATGCAGAAGGGTCCTACTTTGAAGAATATTGAGCGCATGTATTATTTCTGTCAATAAATATTTTGTAATTGACTCAGTCCGACTACTTTAAGGACAGACCATGTAGATTGTCTAAAATTTAGCAAAATCCAGTGTTTATACTCGGATACGATTAATGGAAACTAACTTTAATTGATAAATTAATACTAACCCACCAAACGCAAAGTAACAGTTACATAACTATAAGTTAAAATTTCCTACTCAACAATATAACTGTTATATGTATAACATGTTATGTAACAGTTATATTGTTGAGTAGGAAATTTTAACTTACAGTTATATAACTGTTACTTTGTGTTTGCTGAGACCAGACGTAATTTTTTAATTAAAAATATTAAGTCCATTTATTGACCACCACACAATTCCATATTTTTGGATGAAAGTTTGATTGAAAAAAAAAGAAAAGATTATTTGGAAATCATCAATCAAAATAATTCTGTTTGAAATTAATGTTGAAACACGTGCAAAGGATAATACAAAATACCATACCAGTCAATGCTCCACGTGTTCGATTTAATCCTTCGATCGCCTGCGATGAGTGCGATGTCCCTGTTGCTCTGCGAATATTGGGTTGCGCGTTCTCCGTGCCTTCAAACTTACTGAGCTCTTTCGAAATCCGTGCTGAAAGTCGTACTCTTATAGAACCTGCCGATCATGGGCGTATCCAAACTTTTGTCTAGGGGGGGGGCAGAACAGGATTCACTCGTAGGTGAATTATGCAGCATAAATTAAACTACGTACTTATAAAAAAATTTTGTTTATTTATATAAAAATTAATTTTCTGGAGTCCTCGGCAAATCTATTAATTATATTATTCGTAATCTCAATGGGGATCTCATTGAGTCTAGGGGGGGGCAGCTGCCGCCCCCCCTGCCCCCCTCTGGATACGCCCATGCTGCCGATGTCTCTCTTTCTATTTCTCTCCTCACCTGCAATGTACACCTTTAATTAATACCGAATAACATATCCGTACAGCATATGTAGATGGATGCTGAGAATATTAGAAGAATTATATTTCAAATTCCACGTGAGTGAGGAAGAAGGTTACAGTGGACATAAAGAAATCTTTTCGCTTATATGTTGCTTAGTATGTTGTTTACTCACGGTGTTCGTAGCGGGAACAGAAATTTCGACATCATGCGTCAGTGTCGGATAATTTGGTAATGTGTTGTATAATTTACTCAACGTGTGCGTCGCGGAATCGGAAATTTCAACATCATGCGTAAGTGTCGGGTAATTTCGTTGTGTGGTATAACTACTCGACGAAATTTCATGAAATAATCTACATTACTTTTCGGGAATCGTAAACAAATCTCCAATAACAAGTTTCAACTCTTTATAAGACCAGACAACACAAGCGTGCGCTTTGGGCGCGCCATTTTTTATAAGGGATATAATAAGGAGGATATATATCTAATTAATTTTTGTCGTTCATTCTCGCGTTCTCTCACTCGTTTTCCACCCATTATCGCTCCCTAGATCACCATCTATTCAATGTCTCTCTCATTTGTGCTTTTGCTTTTTGTCTTTCTCGTTTTTAATTTGCAAAGTTGACAACTGTAAAATATTTTATGTTAATTTATCTTACCTTAAATTATAATTAGTAATGTTTCTCATTATTACTTTGGAAATAATTTAATTAGTTTTGAACAATTTATAAATTGAAAATAATATATAAACGTTAGAGTAAAGAACGCTTAAATAAATCTTTTTATTTAAAAAATTTTTTGATTTTATTACATTGTGGTTAATAACCAATAAAAATCTTCTGCACGAAGAGATATATATTCACATACATATAAGTACATAGAAAATCGAATTCCTTTGAATAATACTTGCTGCGTAATGCACGCCATTGATTGCAAATCAATGTTCAAAGTTTCAAGAAAACATTATGACCGTATTGTGGATAATGAAAAAGGTTAATTAGCTTAGCCTTTAACCTAAATTGGTTAAATTCTTAGAGAAATATATTAATAGCTATTTCATCTACGGCGAAACCTGATTTCTTCGACGTTTAACAACATGCGGTATGCTTTTGAGTCAGAGGTTTATGTCATATATGATCAATCAGGAAATATATTCAGATGTGACTTTGAAATGTCACGTCCTCCTCTTTTCGACATTCCTTATCGTGGCCTTGACTAAACCTTTGCGTATCTGAAATGAAACTGGCCTTACCTGTAGCAGCTTCTTATAAAATATAATTAGGATAGATTCCTTGCTCATATATTGCTGATCGTTTGCTTCAAAAATTGCATCTTGACGTAACACTATTGCATATACGTTCTTTTTTATATTAAAAAAATATGATTTAAATTAAAAACTTAGCACCATTTAACAGACCAAAAAACCAGTTTACTATTTATTACTTTATAAAGCGTACTAGATTTGTTAAAATTACAGTAAGCATAATTTGTAAAAATAAGGTTTTTAAAGTGGGAAATCCATAAAAATTCATATTTTTGTTTAAATGATTGATAATATGTACGCTAAATTTTTAATCATACTATGGCTGCGTTCCGTTTGGGTGCTCACGCGCTGTAAGCATCGCTCTATCTTCGTTTGATATTCGATGTGCAACGAAGATAGAATGATGCTTACACCCAGTGAGAAATGATTCGTCGATCGACGTCGAAGCGACGCACAGTGGTCCGGATTGCGAAAGACGCGCGCATAAGGAAAAATATCGAATTTCTAGTGTTTGATGAATTTTGTGTTGACTTCTTTTAATTATAAGTATGATTAATGACGATAGAACACGTGAATTCACTGACGATAATGATCCCACCTAGGGGAAATCTGTGTTATATGTCCGATAGTAACGGCGCACAGTACAGGGTGGGAAAATACGGTATATGGATTCACATAGCAATATAATGGCCACTACCTTGTCAGGTCCTAAAATATGGCATTTAATTTAAGTTACAATCTGATTTAAATTTTATATTTATTTTAACCATAATGCAGAATGCAGTATATCACGACGAGTTACGCTGCATATTTGACTTTTTATAATTATTACATCGAAGGTTGCGCAAAGTTGCAGATCATTTTAGTACCGATTATTACTACAAGACTTACACAAAAACGGAAAAGTAAATTCATTGTAACCCAACTTAACCCTAAAAAGTTATACCATTTTGAAACATAAATATAAGAAAAACGTACAAATCCTTTATATTTAACCT